TGTGCTCCCACTTTATGTGATATAAGTTGAGGCTCACACTCAAGACTAGATGAAAAAAACCAAGACTCCTACCATAAAAGAAAAAAATAAATAAATAAGGATTAATTATAAAATGCCTCCTCTAAGTTTAGTTCATGTTGCAATTAACTCCTCTATGGTTTTAATTTCAATAAATTATTCCTCAGAGTTTAAATATTTTACAATTAACTCTCATCGTTAATTTCGGCAGTTAAAAGTGACAAAAATTAGTCACTTGTCTTGCACATCCACTCTATCTTTACATTTGGTATTTTGGTGGTGGTGGTGAAAAATCTGAGATGTGGGGAGGATAGAGGGGTGGTGATGGTTCAGCCGTAGGTATTTATAGAATAATTTTATAGAAAATTGAGAATGATGTGAAAATTTGTGATTGTTTGCCAGTGACATTATTTGAGTTCTACAACTAATACAAGAGAGTAAAAATGAGAGACGGTCAAATCCAAAAAATAGGTTGTGTGCTGGTGTTGAGTTGTGTGTTGTTTGTTTTGGTTAATGCAGTTGGAAGTAGATAAAGAGGTGAAAGTGGTGTTGTGTGCTATGATGGTTTTGGGTATGAATATTTGATTTTTTCGTTGATTTTGGTTGGTACAGAGGGAAGCGGAGAATGAGGTGTAGGTGGTGTTGTATGATGTGATGATTTGGGTGTAGATGTTTGATTTTCGTTTGTTTTAGTCGGTGTAGCTGGAATTGGAGAAAGTGGTGGAGGTGGTGNCCCAAATTGAATTTAGGTTAAAATTTTTTAACTCAAGTATTAAAAATCCTAGTCCAAGCCCTAATTTTTTTGGGTTGGACTCGAGTTAAAATCGAGTTGCCTAACCAAAGTTGCACCCCTAGATCTGGTGGTGATCGCCATTGGTACAACAAGAAAGGTAGTTATGTAAGAATTTTGTCGTTCTCATATACGACTCCAAACTGATAACGCACAAATTGGGTTTATACACTATTTGTCAGATGAGCAGTAATAAATATGATAATTAAGAAAGACACAAGCAAGACNATGATGGTTTTGGGTATGAATATTTGATTTTTTCGTTGATTTTGGTTGGTACAGAGGAAAGCGGAGAATGAGGTGTAGGTGGTGTTGTATGATGCGATGATTTGGGTGTAGATGTTTGATTTTCGTTAGTTTTAGTCGGTGTAGCTGGAATTGGAGAAAGTGGTGGAGGTGGTGTGATGATTCCGGTGTGAATGTTTTAATTTTGAAGATGTGGAAATTGTTGAGTTTTTTTTTTTATTCATAGATATTTTAGAAAAAAATCATGAGGAATATGTCAAGGGTAATTTGCCTTTTTATAGAATTTGAGCTTGTGTGACTTGCGCATGACTAATTTTCATCATTTTTTACGGTTGAAAGTAACGGGGGGACTAAATTGAAGAATGTTCAAACTCTGANTTTGAGAGAGAGAGGAGAGTTGTGCTCGACTAAATGTGATCTGCCCCCCAAGTGTTGGCAGAGTTTACAATTTATAGTCGCCTCATAATCGATTATGGCGAGTTATTAGTAACTAAGTGGCTATTCTGGTGANGAAGGGGTGATTTGTTGAAATTGAAACAAAGAGCGTAAATTTATAATTAACCCATTCAAAAAATAGTTGTGTGGCAACTGACAACTGGCAACTGGCAACTGGNTGGCTATTCTGGTGAAGCTGACGATCTTTTTTCAACGGGCGAGACAGTTATGATGCTCTCCATGAGATTTGGTTAAAGGATGAAGTGAATGTTGACTCTTTCCAAGGCGGTGATCATGATTTCAAAAAATAACAAGTAAAAACGTTCAGAAACAAAAAGATATGATCGGTATAAGCTTTTTCTAAAATGATTTGAAAAAATATAGACCTGATCTCTAAAACATCTTTCCTAACATGTTTTCAGAAATTATTTTTCTTTAGAAAAGACACTGCGTCATGCAGGAGCAACATCGTATAGGTGGGCTTTAGCAGTATATATATATATTTAACGGGTAACGGGGACGGGACGGGGGTAAGGATAAATTCATTCCCGCCTTTATTCCAGCACGGACATCGTATAGGTGGGTTTTAACAGTGTATATATATATATATTTAACGGATAACAGGGACGAGACGGGGGTAAGGATAAATTCATTCCCGCCTTTATCCCTGCACGAATTTATACGGATATCCCCGTATACATCCACCGTTCAATACATATAATTCATCCCCAAACAGGACAAATTTAAACGAATACCCATTTTTTCTCAATTCCACTATCATCTCTATTAATACGTATTGAATAAGAATAGCATCTCTATCAATACATATTAAATAAGAATATTTTAGTCTTATATAATCATTTTTTATTCATATTAAATTTATTTAATAACTTCTTTAATTTCCATATAAAAATCTTAAACAATAAATATTTAAAAACAAAAATAATAATTATAAGCTAAACCACCCAATTCATCCAAGACTATCCATACTCTTAGGCTACGCACGCAAATTTGTATTTTTCAGAGTAAATTCATCATAAAATCACTCTTTCATTTCAATAAATTAGTGATTTCTAATAAACTGCAATGACAATAACAACACCAATAAATATTTAAACTCCAAATCTTTGGCTCCAGCTACACTCACCCCGATTGAGGGGTTTTTCAGCCAAAAGCTACACGCAGTCACATGACAAATTAGAGTTACAAAACATAGGACCACTGTCTCTTATAGGCAATATGCAACTTCCACTTTACCTTCATTGTCGATGTGGGATTAACATCCACACTTATACAAGGCATTTTTTTTTTGGTACATTTAAAAATTAAACCAAAATTAAATAGATTTCCTAGTAAATGCAATTTTAGCTAAATCTGCATTCAACAGTCTCCATAGTTGAGGTGTGGGATCTTCAAGAACCACCATGGCATCTTGTTGTTGGACTCCCAAGTTAGAAAGGAAATCAGTATGCTGGTTTACTTCTCTGCGTGTATGCATAATATGAATTTTGTTCGCCTTCATTAATTGAAAACACTTGGCAATGATGGCTCTGCTGAGGTGCGTTTCATGTGGCTTAGAAACAAGAAGATTTGATAACTCGAAGGGAATCTGTTTTGACCACCACTGGTCCTAACCCTCTACTTTGGACGAGTTCAAGGCCATTGAGGATGGCCCAAAGTTCCGCTTGCAAGCTTTTAGAGTCCTCCATTCTTCCATAGAACCAAACCACCCATTGTCCTTGCTCATTCTTCACGATTCCTCCAACTCTAGCTGGACTTGAATTCTCTTTAGGGCACCCATCTGTATTAAGTTTCAGCCAATCTGCAGGGGGGGTCCTTGAGGATGGCCCAAAATTTCGCTTGCAAGCTTGTAGAGTCCTCCATTCTTCCATAGGACCCAACCATCTATTGTCCTTGCTCATTCCTCATGATTCCTCCAACTCTAGCAGGACTTGGATTCTCTTTGGAGCACCCATTCGTATTAAGTGTCAACCAACCTGCAGGGAAAAACACCACGTAATTAGACAAGGCATTGAAATGCCTTGTATATATATTCGTATAGAAGTGGTATATAAATATGTATTTGTGTATAAATTTTACCTTATATTTGTATAGTAAAATTGATTTTTTAAAATATATTTTCAATAATTTTTATATAATGTAACACACACACACACACAGAATATGACACTCTTAAGACGCTCATGTTCACTTTTGTGCTCCCACTTTATGTGATATAAGTTGAGGCTCACACTCAAGACTAGATGAAAAAAACCAAGACTCCTAACATAAAAGAAAAAAATAAATAAATAAGGATTAATTATAAAATGCCTCCTCTAAGTTTAGTTCATGTTGCAATTAACTCCTCTATGGTTTTAATTTCAATAAATTATTCCTCAGAGTTTAAATATTTTACAATTAACTCTCATCGTTAATTTCGGCAGTTAAAAGTGACAAAAATTAGTCACTTGTTTTGCACATCCACTCTATCTTTACATTTGGTATTTTGGTGGTGGTGGTGAAAAATCTGAGATGTGGGGAGGATAGAGGGGTGGTGATGGTTCAGCCGTAGGTATTTATAGAATAATTTTATAGAAAATTGAGAATGATGTGAAAATTTGTGATTGTTTGCCAGTGACATTATTTGAGTTCTACAACTAATACAAGAGAGTAAAAATGAGAGACGGTCAAATCCAAAAAATAGGTTGTGTGCTGGTGTTGAGTTGTGTGTTGTTTGTTTTGGTTAATGCAGTTGGAAGTAGATAAGGAGGTGAAAGTGGTGTTGTGTGCTATGATGGTTTTGGGTATGAATATTTGATTTTTTCGTTGATTTTGGTTGGTACAGAGGAAAGCGGAGAATGAGGTGTAGGTGGTGTTGTATGATGCGATGATTTGGGTGTAGATGTTTGATTTTCGTTAGTTTTAGTCGGTGTAGCTGGAATTGGAGAAAGTGGTGGAGGTGGTGTGATGATTCCGGTGTGAATGTTTTAATTTTGAAGATGTGGAAATTGTTGAGTTTTTTTTTTTATTCATAGATATTTTAGAAAAAAATCATGAGGAATATGTCAAGGGTAATTTTCCTTTTTATAGAATTTGAGCTTGTGTGACTTGCGCATGACTAATTTTCATCATTTTTTACGGTTGAAAGTAACGGGGGGACTAAATTGAAGAATGTTCAAACTCTGAAGGGGTGATTTGTTGAAATTGAAACAAAGAGCGTAAATTTATAATTAACCCATTCAAAAAATAGTTGTGTGGCAACTGACAACTGGCAACTGGCAACTGGATGTTCAGTGAGTATCTTATGTTAAAAAACGACGCCGCTGCTGGCCAGTCCATTCAATTTGACTATTTGAGTCATTTTGTTTTGGCTTGATTATTGAGGGTGGGCCAGTGAGAAGCATTAAGCCCAATGCTGCTGAGAAGCACAAAAAAAGTCAAACTTTTGCTTACATAAGCACCGATAAACCAACAAATAAGTAAAAACATGATTAAAATTCAACGAACCCTCAACACTTTTTCTCTCTCATAAATCCCCCAGAAACACCTATACTGTTGTCATCACTGCTGCTTTCATTGATCTCACACAACACAAGTCACGTCACCAAGCAACGCCATAAAGGTTCTTTCTCTCTCTCCTTTATCTGTTATTGTTCTTCTGTATCCAACTAATTTCATCTCTCAATTGAGTCAATTCCGCAAATTTCTTTTGAATCTTGTATGGTCTGATAAAATAAAACCAGCCCATTACACCTAAGTTATACAAATCTTCAGTAAAATCTTGGATAGTTCATTATTGGGTACTTTAGAAAAGAAACATTACAATATCATGTTGAAGTTTCAGAACAAAAGAAGAAAGCTTATACTTTGTACTCTGAATCTGTTTTTTTTTCTCTTGGTGGTGGTTGAAGTTGGATCAAAATTCTAATTTTTTATTTTGTTGGGTAATTTTTGACCATCAGGTGCTTAATTAATTATACTTAGTATGAGAAATAGGTCTCAAAATTCTTCAGCAACATCGAGGCCGGTGCGAGTTGATGAGAGGAGTGATGTGTCTGGTGAAGACAAGGAGATTCGATCCAATGATAATGTAGGAAGTCCTAAGAGGTCAGTGTACGTGATACTAACATTGTTTGTGCTGGTCATCCATGGGTCTTGGGCAGTTCATTATTATCAGTTTGAGAGTATGCCGATGCCACTCACTGCAGAGCAGGCAGGCAAGAGGGGTTTCTCTGAGGAAGAAGCCATAAAGCATGTTAAGGCCTTGACTGAATTGGGTCCTCACCCTGTTGGTTCTGATGCTCTTAATCGTGCTTTGCAGGTATGGTCTATTGATTAAATTAGCTCACACTAACATCTCTTATAATTTCGTTCACCATAGCCATGTAAAAATCTCTGTTATGCATCTTGCACCTCGATTTGTGCCTGTACTAATGCTTTATAGTCCATTAAGCTTGATAAGCTAGAAAAACGAATAGAAGCATGGCTACACAGAATTGTAAAATACTAACCCGGGTACACCAGAAGAAATAAAAAAGTAGACAGAAACGCTGCACATATATTCTTTTACATGCACACACACACACACTCTTTATACTTACAATCATGAATCTTGGCCCTTTTTATATGCAGTCATTTGAACTCTGGTCATTATTTTTGTTCTTGGCTATGAATTCCCGTTGGTGATCCTTTTCTGAGAAGTCATCTTGTAGAAGTCTTGTATTGATCTGTTTCACTGCAGTATGTCTTCAAGGCGTCAGAAAATATTAAAAAGATGGCTCACTGGGAAGTTGATGTGGAAGTGGATTTTTTTCATGCAAAATCTGGTGCTAATCGTTTGGTCAGTGGCCTTTTTAAGGGGAAAACCCTTGTTTATTCAGATCTAAACCATATCATACTAAGAATCTTGCCAAAATATGCATCTGAAGCAGCAGATAATGCTATTCTGATCTCCTCCCACATTGACACCGTTTTCTCAGGGTATGTTTCCGTATTCTCAACAGCTTTGGTAAGATACTAAACTGGTACTTTGAAGGTTAATGTGTGTGGCTCCTATTTCTCTCCCTCTGCATGATTCAGGGAAGGAGCTGGTGATTGCAGTTCATGTGTGGCTGTTATGTTGGAGCTTGCTCGAGGAGTTTCTCACTGGGCACATGGATTTAAGACAGCTGTAATTTTTTTGTTTAATACTGGGGAGGAGGAGGGCTTGAATGGCGCCCATAGCTTCATAACACAGGTTTATTACATTTAAGATGCACCACCTAAAGTGGGTTAATTTTATTTCCGTATCTTTTTTCTCTTTATATCCAAATTGCATTCTGCAATAACAAGCTTTAGTTGCCAAAAGGGGTCTTCTCCTCTGATGCATAATGTGATGCACAACTGATAAATTTGTTTATTAGCTTGCCACAAACTTCTTCTCGGTCTATGTGTTCACATGCACGTGCATTCATCTGTGTGAGCGTGCATTCTATAATGAATGCAGAGAAATCCAGTTATTAAACCCTGTTTATGGCTAAAATGGTTATCATGGGAGAATTCATTAGATTTAAATTTCCTCCCATAATTGCTTATTGACAGTATTCACCATGGGTCTACAATTGTATAGAATATATGCATTTTTTTTATGCTAGGCATGAAAATGGAGAAAGAACAGGATTTAGAAAAAGAAATAATCTTCTCTATATATTTCCAAGGACATACGGAAGCTTTTTAAGATAAATTTACAATTCTCTACTGTAAGGCATAAACATATGGCCGTTTTTTTAATAAACCTTACTGCCCTTGTTTGTACCTTGAGCAGGATTTTTTAAGACTTTATAGTATTTGTTATGCGTTTGGATGTACTTCAGGTAAATTTGTATGCATCCTTCAGGTATATATGCAGAGGGCAGGAGCTTCCTGTTAGAGTATATATATGTGTGTTTGTCATTCTTGTAATAAGCATATACACTAATGGGTATATTCATCNTTATAGTATTTGTTATGCGTTTGGATGTACTTCAGGTAAATTTGTATGCATCCTTCACGTATATATGCAGAGGGCAGGAGCTTCCTGTTAGAGTATATATATGTGTGTTTGTCATTCTTGTAATAAGCATATAGACTAATGGGTATATTCATCTNGGTAAATTTGTATGCATCCTTCAGGTATATATGCAGAGGGCAGGAGCTTCCTGTTAGAGTATATATATGTGTGTTTGTCATTCTTGTAATAAGCATATACACTAATGGGTATATTCATCTTTAGTAATAATTTGATATATATAAATAGGAGATGAGAGGGTAGATCATTTGCTCTCTACACACTCATGGCTTCTTCTCTACATTCTCTCCAAAACCCTGATTCTCACTTTGACATGGTATTAGAGCTTGGCTAATTAGTTGTGACCCTCATCCCTTATCCTTCCATCTTCTTTCCCTTCTTCTTCTTCTCATCCCTACTCTATCCACTGGTTCTGGTGAATCGACATTGCCATCTCGATTGAAGCATTATTTGATGGCGGGGTTGTTAAGTTTCATTGCCGTCTTTGGTCATTTGTGGATATGTTGTTGTTACACAATGAATCACATCTACTTTTGTTTGTTATTGTTAAACAACCATCTACTCTTGGAGTGGGTGTAATTTAAGTATTTGTACTTCAACAAGCCCCCTCACGTGATGGTTGAATTTTGGGCCTAGCATGTAGAAACTCTTTTACTAATTAGGGTGACGGCGAGATTCGAATACAGGACCCCTGCTCTGATACCATGTTAAACAACTATCTACTCCAAAAACTTAAGCTTTTGGAGATGGTATATCTTAAGTATTTATATTTCAACAGTTATTAATCCTTCTGATTTGGTTCTGATTTTGTGATCGAAATAGTGTTTATGGGTTGTTGTTTGTTATTGTTATTGCCGGTGACAAATACTTGGAGACTGCGTTGACCGTCTGTGTATATGAAGAAGACAACGACTTTTGGCTATAGGGATACGTATTCCTATTCTTGGTTATTGTTTTCCTTAGTTGGATATCGAATCCCAATTTTGTACACNCCTAGCATGTAGAAACTCTTTTACTAATTAGGGTGACGGCGAGATTCGAATACAGGACCCCTGCTCTGATACCATGTTAAACAACTATCTACTCCAAAAATTTAAGCTTTTGGAGATGGTATATCTTAAGTATTTATATTTCAACAGTTATTAATCCTTCTGATTTGGTTCTGATTTTGTGATCGAAATAGTGTTTATGGGTTGTTGTTTGTTATTGTTATTGCCGGTGACAAATACTTGGAGACTGCGTTGACCGTCTGTGTATATGAAGAAGACAACGACTTTTGGCTATAGGGATACGTATTCCTATTCTTGGTTATTGTTTTCCTTAGTTGGATATCGAATCCCAATTTTGTACACACTGGTTTACTGAAATTAGCCCGACTACTAGATTCTAACAAAGGTCCAATTGGTTAAGTAGTCCCGAGCTTCCTTCTCTCTGATGTGTTCTATTGTCTTAAGTGGGCTACCTTATGAGGCCATCACTCTTTAGTGAGTATTGACATGGTAGTGGTCGTTCGACTTATGTTGTTTACCAGAATGGTATTGGTACTAGTGGCTCTCGTGGAAGCCATGGTAGTAGGGGAGGCCTCGATATGCATGATGGCCGTGATGCTTGGGGTAGTCATGGACGAGGCAATCGCGATGGACGCTGATGCACTCATTGTGATCGTAGTAACACACTGTGGATTATTATTGGGACCTCTATGGCAAACAATCAGTATTTGCTCATTAGACTTCTTATTTAGATGATGTTCCTCTTCGGTCCACGCCACCCATTGGACCCAATTTGCCCCTCCTACTAATTTCATAAATATTTCTCGAGATGAGTATGCTTAGTTCATGTTCCCGAAACAGGTCATACCTTCTTCCACGATAACATTTGCTCAGCTAGGTACATCATCTACTTGCTTACTATCTTCCATGCATAGCCTATTTATCATTGATTCTGGCGCATCTTTGATCATATGACTATTCTTTTGGTCACTTATCTCACTTTCACTCTATTGCCCCATCTCGTAGTGCTACGCTTGCTAATGGTTCATCATCAAAGGTTTCAAGTTTGGGTACTATGCAACTTAGTCCCTCGGTCTTTTTATCTTCTGTTTTGTTTGTTTCTCAGTTTCCTTTTAGTTTATCTTCNTGCTAATGGTTCATCATCAAAGGTTTCAAGTTTGGGTACTATGCAACTTAGTCCCTCAGTCTTTTTATCTTCTGTTTTGTTTGTTTCTCAGTTTCCTTTTAGTTTATCTTTTATTAGTAAGATCAGATGTTCTCGAAATTGTTTAGTAACCTTTTATCTTTTTTTTTGTCTTTCAAAATCTCGAAACGAAGAATAAGAATAATTAGATTGGTATGAGAAATGAATCAGGTGGTCTCTATTACTTTGATTACAACCCTTCTTCCAAAGCTTTCCTGACTTGCATATCTCCTTCCTGACTTGCATATCTCCAGTGGCATTGCTGTCTTAACCATTTGTCAATTCCAATTTTAAAGCCTAAAGTTTCTAGATGTGTGTCTTTTTTATCTTGTGAAACATGTCAGCTTAGTCACGTGTCATTTCAGTCAAGGATTAATAATCGTGTCTCTACACCTTTTGAATTAGTTCATTCTGATGAATGGGGTTTTTTGTGGATGATCATTCTCGTATTACTTTGTTATTTTTAATGAAAACTTGATCNACCATTTGTCAATTCCAATTTTAAAGCCTAAAGTTTCTAGATGTGTGTCTTTTTTATCTTGTGAAACATGTCAGCTTAGTCACGTGTCATTTCGGTCAAGGATTAATAATCGTGTCTCTACACCTTTTGAATTAGTTCATTCTGATGAATGGGGTTTTTTGTAGATGATCATTCTCGTATTACTTTGTTATTTTTAATGAAAACTTGATCTGAATTGTTTACTATATTTCAATTGTTTCATAAGCAAATTAAGACACAAACCTGGCTGCAACAAACGTGTTTTATGGTTTGATAATGACAAGGAATATACTTCTAATCCCTTTCAGTCATATTTTCAGCACAAAACATTATTCATCAAACTTCTTATGTTCACAAACCCCAACAAGTGTGACGGAGAGAAAGAATCATAACTTGTTAGATGTGATTTGAGCACTTTTATTTCACGTGCATGTCCCTAATTGGTTTTGGGCTGATGTCACCTTGACANTCACAAACCCCAACAAGTGTGACGGAGAGAAAGAATCATAACTTGTTAGATGTGATTCGAGCACTTTTATTTCACGTGCATGTCCCTAATTGGTTTTGGGCTGATGTCGTCTTGACTGCATGCCATTTCATTAATCAGATGCCTTCTAATGTCATATATGGGACATCTCCCCATTCTTATTTGTTTCTAAACTCTCCATTGTTCTCTCTTCCCCTAAGGTGTTTGGTTGTCTCTTCCATGTCCATAATCTCGAGCTCGGGTTTGATAAACTTGATTCCCATGCTACTAAGTGCATCTTCCTTGGTTATTCCCACAAAAAAGTTATAGTTATTACACTCATGTTCTTTGAAACTATTTCACTAGTGTTGATGTTACCTTTTGGGAGTTTACACCTTATTTTTCTGCTCCTTCCAATTCTATTTGAGTTGTCTCCCCAATTTGTTCCCAATCTTGCTCTGGTTCCTTACCTATTGTTCCTTTTTATTTTTTTTGGGGAAGAGGAGGGTGAGGAGGAAAGCAGAGTTGAACCCTTGACCTTAAGAAGGCAAAGCC